ATATATATATATATATATATATATATATATGGATACTAAAATAAATATAACATCCCTACGTCACAGATTTTCACCTATTGTGGGGGTGTCTGGAATTTAACCCCCATGATGAGAGGGACTACCGTACCATATTAGAAGTACACACCCCTGTGTGTTTTGTTCAGGATTTTGGGATGTAAAAAACATCATGATAAACTGAGTTTACCTCAACACTGTTTCTCTTTACCACTCTCTCGTAAAACTCAGGTTGGTGAAGAACTTGGGCAACAGTTGTTGTATGCACAGTCCCTCCCATCCCACCTGTAACTCCTTCAGAGTGCTCACAGGGGTTTTGGTGGTCTCTCTCACTTTTCTCCTTCTTGTACGGTCTCTCAGTTTGTGCGGACGGCCTGCTCTTGGTAGATTTACACATGTCCCATATTTCTTCCATTTCTTGATGATGAGTTTAGCAGAACTCCTGTGGATGTTTACGGCCTTGGAAGTGTTTTTGTATCCATTCACTGACGTGCATTTTTCAGTCATCTTTTCTCTAAGTTGAATTAGGACAGTTACTTTAAAGGAGGTGAATATTGATGCAATCACCTATTTTATATTTCTTATTCATTATTTAATTTGTATTATGCTGTAGAAATTTGATTTCACTTTACCAGAAAGTTGTGTTAGAAATTGTTTTTGTCAGAAAAGCCAGTTTATATTGAGCACAGCTGATTTGTGACTGTAATAAAAGCATCAAACATTCCAGGGGGTGAATGCACAAACTCAGTATCATTTACCTGAGAGCTTCTAAAGAAAGGACTGAATAATGAAGAGCACACATTCTTTCGCATCACATCCTTCACGCTCACCCGGCTCTTCAAACGTTTTATTTTTTATCTTTCAGGGATCAGGAACGGGTGCCTCTGTGACGGGCGGGGCTGGTTCATCGGGGTCCAGACCCACTCGGCAGCGCATCACCCGCGTCAATCTCAGGGACCTGCTGTTCTGCTTGGAGGACGAGAGATTCACCCGTCACTCCCATTTCCTCTACAAGGGCTTTCTCAAATAGACTTGATGATGTCAGGGAGAGGAGGACAAGGAGGAGCAGGTAGAGGAGTGGAGGGTAACGGTGTGTGTGGAGAAACCAATTACTCCCTCCACAAAGATTGTAAGCGGCTCCTTAAAGTGAAGAGGAGGACATCAAGCATCAACAAGATAACATGAACTATACTTGAAGGCTTCTCTACCTCCCTCTTCAAATAACGCCTATTTTCCTTCAGAGCCAATGTCCCTTTATTTAACCCGAGCTACTGCTTCTTCAACATGGTGCAAAGATGAGTCGTGTTTTCTGACGAAGGTTTGTGTGTGTGTGTGTGAACAAATGATATAATGTACAACTCTGCACTGTTTTATATTTTAACCTACAGTATGGCTTACTTTTTTGAATATTTGTATGCAAAATTTGTTTCAAAGCTACAAAAATCACTTGTTTTATTAGACCACCAGTTACAACCCCAATTTAGAAGAAGTTGGAACATTGTGCAAATTTGCAGATTTTATAAAGTCATATTTTCCCCCACAATGGAACATAGTAAACATATCAAAAGTTTAAACACAATTTTTTAGGGGGAAAAAGGTATTTCTGAATTTGTTGGCAGCAGGACTCGACTGAGAAGCGTCACCTCTTAACAACACTCTGTAAGAACTGAGGAGACCTGAGCTGTTGTTTTGTGGGGAATGTTGTCCCATTCTAGTTTGATGTAGGAGTCTAGCTGTACAATAGTCCAGGGTCTTCCTTGCTCAGTTTTCCATTTCATGTCGCACCAAATGTTTTCATTTGGTGCGTTCTGGACTGCAGGCAGGTCCGTTCACCTCTCGGACTCTTCTCCTAACAAGCCATGCTCTTGTAATGGATGCAGTCTCCTCAGTGTTCAGTGCTGAAATACACAAGGCCTCGCCTGAAAAAGACGTCTGGATTGGAGCACTTGTTTTAAAACCTGCATATACATTCTGCATTGATGATGCCTTTCCAGATGTGTAAGCTGCCCATGCCAGAGACATTAATGCACCCTAATACCATCAGAGAGGCAGGCTTTTGATAAAAGCACTGATAACAGACCTACAGTATCTCCACGGACCACGATTTACAGAAAAAACAAGTTTTGATTTGTCTGACCTTAAAGCTTTTCACTTTGCTTTAGTCCATTTTAAACAAGCTTTGGCCCAGAAACGATGTCCACAACTGAATCAGACCTGGTTTGAAATCAGCGGCCCCTGAGGGCCCGAAGACAACATGACTTTCAGTATTTTCCTTTGAGCTCAGAGATTTCTCCAGACTTGAAATCTGATATTATGAACTACAGATGATCGGATATTCAGTCTTCCTGATTTTTCAGTTGGGGAACATTATTGGGGAATGGTTGCACTATATTTAGACTGTTTTTTTTACAGACGGGTGAACCTCTGCCCATCTTTACTTCTGAGAGATTCACCCTCTGTAAAATGCTCTTTTTATACCCGCTCCTTGAACTCACCTGTTGCCAATTAACTAATTAGTTTCAAATGCACCTCCAGCTGTTTCCTGTTTGTACCGCTGACTTACAGCCTTTTGTCGCCACGGTCTTGTTGTTTTTGAAATACGCTGCTGCCATCAAAATCAAGAATATTGTTTTTTTCATACAATTTCTTAGTTTAAGCATTTGTTGTTCACTTACTGTAAATAAAATATGGCTTTATGAGATTAGCAAAATACTTTTTTTTTACTCAATGGCCCAAACTTTTCAGATTTTCAGTGATACTTTAGCGTGAATGTGACTTCATTCTGTCCATTAGCTGAATTCATCCGAGCTGTGAACTGTGGGATGTACTGAGTTGCCTTCCTAACTATGAATAAGCCATACACCCTGCTGGAACTCATGGAGCCGTAGCTGTTTGTTCACTTACCTGACGAACTTTCACCATATTTATTTGCATAATTCAAACTTAAATTAATGTTTAGCTATTTATTTATTATCGTGTGACACACGGATTGTTTCTTGTAGCCTAATTTTTAAAAGTAATGTATGTTTTACCAGCATAGGGCATGTTTGAGTTTAGTGTTTTTGATTTCTGCAGGTGCAGTTTTTTTAATGTATCATTTTTGATGAATTTATATTATTTGTAGACGTGATGATTTCTAAAATAATTAACTCTTTAAGGCTTTTAACCTGTGTTGCTGTACCAAACTTATATTTACATGAAATTATTTTTCTAGCTTCTATTCTTCTATAGTGACTGATGAAGTCCTCAAAATATTTCTTCACCTGCTTTTAGTTTGCTACAGCGCAGCCCGTTAGCTTTGTAGCATGAATGACTTCAGAAACTGCAGTTTCTTCCTGTATATTTGTAAATGTTTCACCTAAAGTTTTACACGCTGTCTTGTATAGAATGAAGACTTTAAGATTAAAGAAAAATCACATTTTCTCTATTCAAACGTTTGAATAAATGAGTTTACAGGAGCTGTGTGGTCTTTTTTTTAGGTTTCAATGATTTATAGATGGTTTAGTTGTATAAATGTTTATAAATCTTACATATTTTAAATCATTACTGTATTTTTTGGCCTATAAGTCACCGTTTTTTTGCATAATTTACATGCCCTGACTTATAAGCCGATGTGACGTATTTATGGATTTGTTCCCATATTTATAAACCAATTTTTGGCTGAGATATGACCGTTTTCATTCATTCTGACTGGAAATATTGAACACAGCCATTTTCAGCCACTAGATGGCAGTTGAGTGGTATGGCATGTCGTTGTGTCAAGTAATAGGTAAAAATGGATATTAATGACACAATCGGCTTGCCATAGGCAGTCACTGTCATCTGCCTGGAGCAACCGTCAAATCAGCTTCATTTCGCTGCGTCACCCCAGAGAAATGCAGCTGATTTGACCATTGAAGTTCATTTATTAAATAAAAGATCAAGTGAGACACACCTTTACTATAAAGTCGAGCAAACAAATTGTTTTTAAGCGTTAATCTTGTTCAAATTTCGTTAAAGTCCTCCCGTGCATGCTTCTGCGCCTGCCATTTGGCAGCCAATCGTTTTTTGGCACAACACCACCTCACATTTCTGGGTGGTCAGTGGTGATGCATAATACATGCGACTTTTACGGCGAAGTGACATATTTATGTATTTTTCCACTTTATTAGACATATTTGGACAGAAGCAACTTATAGGCAGTGCGACGTGTACGGCGGAAAATATGGTACATATTGAGCTCTGTTTTTCTTCCATAGGTTTTTTTTGGCACTCGTTCACATTTTTTGTGCTATTTCAACAGTTCATGTATCAAGATGTGTAGCGCATTCAGGACATTCTTGCTTTAATATTTGTAAATATTTACGTTTTGAAATATTTAGCTTGTTTTCCATATTGAAATGAATGGAGTTCTCTCTGCATCCTTTAAACTCTGTGCTGTTAATCTTTTACTGCTCATTTCAATCTCCTATTTTCAGCTTCTTTGTGCTAATTTCAACCTTTTCAGATAATTTTAAGTTAAATTCAAATTTTATTTATTTATTTTTGCTTTTCCTGCTACGTTTTAGGTATTTTCTGCATTTTTTTAAGCATTTTTCTGCTTATTTTAATTTTTTGTGTTAATTTAAACCTTTTAAGCCTCTTTCTAAAAATGTCAACGTTCTATGCTCCTTCAGCCTCTCTACTCATTTCAGTTTTTTTTTTAACTTAATTTCATATATATATATATATATATATATATATATATATATATAATCTATTCAGCCTCTGCCTGCTTCATCTTGTTTATTCTGTAGTTCAGTTTTTATTCTGCAGCTTCCTGAGTGTCAAGATGGTGCCAACAAGCCACATCTGCAGATCATCTCCTTGGTGAGCTTCAGGAGCATAAAAGGCTGCAGAAGAGCTCTACTCCCTGCTGGAGCACTACATGCCAACCAGTATTTGTGCTTTCAGCCACTTATAGGCCCTTTCCAAAAAATTAGAATAACATGGAAAAGTTGTTTAACTTCCATAATTCCATTCAAACACTTAATCTTTAATAAATGATAGATTCCGGACCAACAATTTAAACAATTTCAAGTATTTATTTATTTTTACATAATTTGGGCTTCCAGCTCATGAAACCCATGAAAACAGGAATTCAAAAAATTACAACACTGTGCAGAAATCAGCCCAAATTTTGCAGGGCATGAATATTTTAAATTGAGTGTGACACTAATCATCTACTAAACTCAAAGCACCTGCACAGGTTTCCCCAGGTGTCATCACATTGCTTCAGTTCGGTTCAATTGTCTCAGTTCGGTTCAATGTGGGGAAGACTGCAGACATAACTGGCCAGAAGACCATCATTGATACCCTCCATAGGGTGGGTAAACCACAAAAGTTCATAGCTAAGGAGGCTGGCTGTTCATAGAGTGCTGTGTCCAAGCATATCAATGGAAAGTCTAGTGGAAGGGCAAAATGTGGCAGGAGAAGATGCACCAGTAAAAGAGATGACCGTGGTTTTCAGCGGATTATCAAGTAGAGTAGATTCCAAAATCTGGCAGAGTTCCAGAAAGAGTAGAATGAGGCGAGAGTCACAGCTTCAAAAACCACCACATTCAGACGCATCCAGGAGATGGGCTACAACTGTTGGGTTCTTCAGTCCTCTCTTCCGATGAAAGTAAAGTGTGCCTTTCATTTGGAAATCACTGTCCAAGGGTTTGAAGGAAGAAGGGTGAGGAACAGAGCCCATCCTGCTTGAGGTCCAGTGTGAAATATCCACAGTCAGTCATGATTTGGGGTGCAATGTCCGGTGCAGGTGTTGGTAAACTCTGCTTTCTTAAATCCAAGGTCACTGCAACAGTCTACCAGAATGTTTTAGAGGACTTCATGATTCCTTCTGCTGAGGATCTGTATGGAGATGCAGATTTCATCTTTGTGGGGAGTGGTGGCGCAGAGGTTAGAGAGGTGGGCTTGTGATCCGAAGATCGCCGGTTCACGCCCCGGCCCTGACAACATCAAAATTGTGGGTGGGGTAGGTGAAACACCCACACTTGCCCCCACCCTCATTCGCCCCACTCTGGGCCCATGAGCAAGGCCCTTAACCCCCACCATGTGCTCCCTAAACAGGTCTCTCTTGAAAATGAGTTCTCGTGGCTCAATGAGACTAACCTGGATAAATAAAGGCTAAATGAAAAAAAAAAAAAGAAATCTTCCACCAGCACCTGGCCCCTGCCCATGCTGCCAGAAGCACCACAAACTGGTTTGATGCCCATGCCACAGAGCTTGACTGGGCCAGCCAACTCGCTGGACCTAAACCCCATTGAGAATCTATGGAGTATTCTCAAGAGGAACATGAGGGGCACCAGACCCAACAACAAAGAAGAGCTGACAGCATCAAGGAAATCTGGGCTTCCATAACTCCCAGTCAATGCCACAGGCTGATTGTCTCAATCCCACATCACATCGAGTCAGTGATTAATGCAAAGGGATTCTCAACCAAGTATTGAAGATTGACATATCGTTTTGAAAGTACCATATTTTGATTGATTTGTTGTGATCCTAATTTTTTTCTGCAAAAACTGAGAAGTGTGGA